GCCAACCTTCAATCTTCTCCTCTCTGTAAAACCCTAAATTTGCCATTGAACTCTAAACTACTGGTTATTCAGGGTTAGTGATAAGACTTTTATACTTGACCGTAACTCGATCTGATTTGATTTGATATGATCATAGTCATTTGTAAAAGCGTAATATATATACTGAAATGACCATAAAGTTTAAATTGTGAGATCATGGTGGTAATTAAAAAGGAGTATATGGATTCAACATTACTTTATTTAGATATAATTAATTAGATCAGCTTTATAAGCTTGCTCAAATCAACAACTGACTCGCTAGCTAGCAACAACTTACAATAACCTTGCACCATGATCAGTGAAATTTTTGCTAAAGCCTAGAGTTGGTACTAGTCTTTTCTTCATAAATTCTGAAAAAGGGACAACGATATTTTTAATTCTCCTTTAAATATAAGACATCATTTACAACTTTTACTTCCAAACCCTATCAATTGCTTCCATTTTGCATGGACTGATACAATTTATCAAGAAAAAAGCAATTGAGGAAAGAAAATAATTAAAGCTCGCCTCAACTTAATTAGTTATTTGCTTTACTGATGTTTTCAGCTTAATGAATAATGATCACCCCTTTGTTCCAACCAAATAATGAAAATCAATCACCCAATCCTACCAGTTGTTACCTTCTCCCATTTGAGAACTCTACCCTTTTCCTTTCAATTCAATAACCTTACAGCATTTAGCATCAACAAATCATCACTTGGTCTAAAAGCAATTTTGTGAACACCCAATCAATTATTAATATCATAGAGAACACTGCACAAAACTTTATCTCTAATTTGAGATTGAAAACTCATGACAATAATCTAATTTATGTGTCGATCGTTTCTCATCAGAATAGCATTCATCAAATACTTTTTAAGAAAATGTATCATTAGCTAAAAAAATGTGGTGAAAAATCGTTTGTTAAAGAACACAGGTTTTGCTTGTGGATTGAGCAAGATGATTTTACATCCACGGAACAAAATGAGGTTCCATATTTTATAGTCTAACCTCTTTAATTATACAAGCATGACTACACAATCTTTATATACAATAGTCTTTTCCTTTTAATACTAACCACACGTAATAAGAAGATATTGCGTAACAATACCTTACGTTTCTTCTATTTTTTTTAGGTTGTATATTAGTCATGAGTTATTGGAAAAGGGTCACTAGCGGCAACCAATTTGTTTTTCATATGAACATGACTCGACTAGCTAGCTCGTGTGATCGATCTCCTTTAAGCAAAAGCAAAAGGCAACAAACAAACACACAAACGTGCAAACAAAACCTAGCTGTGTCTCTGTTCTTAGCTTTTTTTCAATCTGCACATTTGCAAATGATTCAAGTTCATTCATCAAATCAAGGAGAGCCCATTTATCAATGATAAAAAGGGCCTTCAATTATTGAAAAATACACATTACATACATACTTACCACAAAAAGGCCCAAAGGGGATTTCAAAAAGGGTGCTCTGTAATTTCGGTCAACAAAGATCCCACCGTCCCCTCCAAACCACAGACTCAGAGATTCCCCCTTGGCCCAGCTCTCTCTCTAATCTATTGGTCATATGGCTTGCTGGCTGGCTGGTATTGGCTTGTTCATCAGAATCTCTACCTCTCTCGATCGTGGAAAAAAACAGTGCTCATCAACTTTAGAGAATTAGCTTTCTTTCGTTGGCTTCCTTTCGTGATGGAGAACTAATTACGACTCCTTGCTCATCCAATCGATAAATTGATGTCACTGCAAAGTTTGTAGAAAAAAAATGAAGGATAGATATGGTTTATGGCAAACGCATGCATGATTTAATTTAGACAGTCAATAATGAAGGAAGGATAGGTATGGTTTATGCTGCCTCTGGTTGACTAGCTAGGGTGAGTGACGATCGAGGGGGCGAACTATAATGGATTAATGATTTGGCGTTTTCATCGTTGTTTTTGTTATGAATATGTAGGATAATATACATTTGAATCGTTTGGATGAGTCATTTGTATGAGTTATTTGTTATTAAGTGATTCGATTGAATTGTTTGCTTGAGTCATCTGTATGGGTTATTTGGTACCAATTGAGTCGTTTGATGGGTCATTTCATCCTTACGAAAGTGTCAAATGACTCTATCGTGTCATTTTCAAATGGTTTCTATCCATGAGTCGTTTTTAAATAACTCCTATTCCTGAGTAATTTATAAATGACTCATTATTTAGTTCAAATTTTCAAATATGTACTTACCTCTTTTATGTAAATCCTCTTTTATCCTACTCTTTCTATTATTTGTTTTCCGTGTCATTGCTTCGTCTCCTCTCATACTTATTATTTTTTTCTTTCCCCGATATTTCACGAGCCAGGAAGTGAGTCATTTACTTAGCGGCTCATCTTTCTCGTTCACAAATACTATCATTTGTAATTAGTTTAAAATTCGAGACTTATGAAGACGTTATCTTTTATAAAGAAATTTAACATAAAATTATTATTTAAAATTAGAAAGTAGTATTATACATATCCAACATCCAAATAATATATTTTGTTGGCAGCAAAATGATTTAGGTTTTATTAGAATAAGAAACAAGATAATAGAATATATTAAATGTAAGACAAAATGGTAGTATTATATTGGCTCACTAAAAAGGACTCATTTAAAACCTTTTAAACAAGGGGCTTGCTATTTGCCGCCAACCAAATTGCTATTTGCCGCCAACAAAAACAAATCCTCCAATAATATATAGTAGAGTTTTGTGAACTTTTCTCCATTTCAAATTTCCTGCAACGAGAGTGAAAGTAGGAAGGACATTTTTGTCTTTACAATTAATTATTTATCTCATATAAAAATATCAATATGAGGATTCGAACCCAGGTCTTTTTAAACAAAGACAATAATCACAACCAATTACACTAAACAAATTTGTTGTATCTTTTTTAGTACAAAGCATACACAAAGTTAGACTCTGAAAATTGGATGAATTTTTCATCATGATTACCAAGCATACTAAGTCTGCCGTATATATTTTTATGGTGCTTGATACTTCAATTTTCATAGTATCTATAGTTTCATGTAATTTTCTCAATTTTAAATTTTTTGCTCTCGCCTTAATTTTTTGCTAAAGGTAGATTGGTAATTGGCTACCATAAAAGAAACTAATTATGTTACTGCGTGTTGTATCCTTGAAATTTTCAATTTAAATTTAGTGCTTTTTTATCTTTGTTCTTATCTCTTTTAACTTCCTCCGAAATTCCCTCAATCGTGCAATAGTTTACGCCCCTTTCACTTTTCAATACAAGGCCGCCTTTGAAATCAATCTTTTGGTATCTCTTGGCACTACGATTTTATTATTGGGGATTTAAGCTAGGCAAGTAGAAGATTTCAACTCCGATATCAATCCATGACAAATAGAATGGAGTTCAATAAATGGAGTTGTAGAAGGAGGATTAGAGATTGAATTTTTTATTGAAACATATGTCTCTTGAGATAAAAATTTGGTTCTACAACAGAGAGTGGTGACTATTGGACCTTTAGGTTTATGGTTTTTGAAGCTAGGTCGATTCTTTATTCAATCTACTGGAACTGATAGATACGGAGTGTCTAATTTTGTGCCTTATTAGTTCGATCGAGTTTATTAGCATATTGGAGGTAACCCTAATTTTGTCGTTTGCTCTCAAGTTTTATTGGTCCCCTCTTAATTGAGTTGTTAGTATATAGTTGACTTGAATCAACAACTCTCCATTTCTTTTTGATTAGTGACATATTGTTCCTAAGGAGAGCATTGAACCCTTTATGTAGGATTGTGAGGTTTAAAATTGTGTTTCAAACTATCTATGGTGTGTGGGAATTCCAATGAGCTTTTGTACGCTATCTTTCTTGACAATCAACTAACCAATAGCATTTTAATTGGGGCTTAATTATCATTATAAAAATGAGATCAATCATTTTTATATTTTATATTCTTATTTCTCCAAAATTTCGACCTATATATTCTTTCTTTATATATCATCTAGATCGAAGAATTGTCAATAAAATTAAACGGGTTGATAGATTTAAATGTAACATAAAAATACAAATAATCAAATATGAACATTCCGGCCAACGGGCCGGGTTATAAGCTAGTATATATATATGTACATCTTTGGTTAAGGAGTTTCACAATCTACAACATATCCAACTTTCAGAAAACGTATTGAATCAGAAAAAATTGACGCTCGTTGGAAAGTCGCCGTAAAATCATTCGGAAAGCCGATTCTCGATGTAAACTGCGGACACGCATCCATGAATCATCACTAAGCAGGTGCATCAATTTTTGGTAGTTTCGAACAATGTTTCCGACGATTTCCAATAAATAGACGGCGGGCCGAAATTTTCCTGTGGCCGGAACCACGTCGATCTGACGGAAACATGTGGCCGGAGCAAGGCTGAGCCACAAAATGTTTTCGGCTCAGCCTGGCTCCGGCCACCAATTTCCGTCGCGCCCTACCTGGTTCCGGCTGCAGGAAATTTTGGCCCGCAGTCTGTGTTTGGAATTTTTCGGAAAATTTTGATTTTAGGAGTTGAATTTAGCGTTTAAGAGTTGAATTTAGAGTTTAGGAGTTGAATTTAGAGTTTAGGAGTTGAATTTAGCGTGTAAGTACTGAATTTACTAATTTAGAATTGAATTTAGAGTTTAGGAGTTGAATTTAGCGGTTAAGACTTGAAATTGGCGTTTAGGTTCACAGGATTATTGATGTGTTATATTGTAATTGTAGGAAAAATGTCAGAGTGTTTATCGATCGATCATGATTACACACAGAAATTTGATAATGGGATCCATTATGCAAGTGTGGAGTTAGCTGAGTTAGCTGCAAAAGCAATCGCTCAGGAGTGTGGGTTCTTTATTATTAAAGGAGCATGGAAACCCAATACTACAGCACTACATCCTGTTACTGCCCTCTGTATGTTTTCCGACGGAAACAGTAGGATCGTTAAGTCTTATAAACCAGACCCTACGAAGGAGACACGTGGGAATATTAGTTTGAAGGGTACTGATTGCCAGTTTCAGATATGTATTAAGGAAGTATGGCAAGAGAATGGTCCAAACACATAGTAGGAGTGACAAGTCGTGTAACCGGAGCTAATAGTGGGTTTCACAACCATGAAAATGTGTTGTATCCAGAACATCACTGACACAACAAACAGTTTAGTGAGGCTGAAAAAGAGAGGTTAAGATTAATGAGGAAGGCGGGGGTGAGACCAAATCAGTGGAAGACGACACTCAATACTGAAGGGGGTGTGCATCATGATATCAAACATATGTACAACAGAAATTACAAGATTCGATGAGATGGGTGAAATGGATGTGATACCGTTTGCGCTTCACGGAGCTGAACAACGTGGGTACCATATCTGTTTACAAAAGGACGCTAATAATGTGCTCACTAATTTGTTTTTTGCGCAACCGACGTCCATTCAGATGTTGCATGCATGGTCGTACGTCATCCTCATAGACTCGACCTACAAGACGAACAGGTACAGCTGGCCATGGGTTGAGATTATTTGGGTTACTCCGGTCAAGAAGAATTTTAACATTGCATGTGCAATTATTAAGCAGGAAACATATGAGTGGCTGCTGCGATGTATTAAAGGGTTGCTCGTTGATACGGTTCCGAATGACATCGTGACAGACAAAGAAGGTGGTCTGCTTGCTTCTGTTCCTGTGGTCTTCCCTCTCCCACATACTGTCCACCTACTATGTTTATGGCACGTCAACAACTGTGTGAAGAAAAAGTTTGAGCAATTACTAGGTAGAATAGCAAAAAGAGAGGTAGCACAAGCGGTATGGAAGAAATATTTCGAAAAGCTGCATGGAGTTGGACTTAGGAGGGTTTTCTTCAAAAGAATAATGAGTTTGAGAGGGTCTGGACAGAGAATAACATAAAAATGGTCGACTACATGCGAGGTGAGTGGTTGCCTCATCAGACAATGTGGGCAAAGTGCTACACAAACCATGTGTTTCATCTTGGTAACACGAGCTCGAATAGAGTTGAGTCATCTCACTCTACATTCAAGACTTTCCTTGTGTCTGGTAGAAGAGCGATTGACACTTGTTTTGCGAAGAACCACAACTACATGGAACATCAGTTTCTAGAAGTGGTAAATGAACTGCACAAGTCACAGAACCGCAATCTGAGTAGGGAAATTGATGCTCCGTGCAAGTTTTTGAGGAGGGTCGTTAGTTGTGAGGCAATCAAACTGATGTTAGATGGGGCGGCGGAGTTGAAGGACAGTTGTGCGTGTCATTTTCAGATGACACATGGGCTCAAGTGTGCTTGCCAGGTTGTTCAAGCTAAGGAAGAAAGACGTCAATTCTATGCTCAAGAGTTGCATGTATTCTGGCGGACTTTGGATTATAAAAACCCCCCAGGTCAACAACAAGTCAGTGATGAAATTGAGCTTCAACAACAACACTTTAGGCGTCTTACTGTTGAGGTGGAAGAAAGAGGTCTTGACGCAGTGAGACAAGCAAGAGATGCCCTATTCTATTGGCTTCACCCAGCAGAGGACAATGTGAAAGAACCAGAAGTGACTAAGAATCCGAGAGGGCGGCCTCGAACAAGCACCAGTCGCATTCGTTCATATTATGAGCGGCCTCGCTCGAGGAGTATTGGGCCTGGTTTAAGTGGAGGCAGGGGGAGGAAACGTAAATAAAACAATTAAACCAATTATGGTTTAGTTAGGAAGAAAATATAGCACCAAAACGCAGTCGTTGGGAACTTGGAACACACAAGGTTGCGAACTATTGCAGCTTGCGAGCCACTAATCAGCAACATAGGTCTTGCTTGCATGGCTATTTCACATAACCTTGTATTTTTCCACCCAAGCAACATTGCATGAGATGAAACCGATGTTGCGTTGGCCGCCAGTGGTGTATGGCGAGCTGTGTAATTTGCCATCTTAGTTGTTTCTAGGTTTAGCCCTGGTGGTTTCGAAATTATTTTAGGTGGTATAAGTTGTGTCGACAACTTAGTTCATAAGAACTGGATCTTATAAACTAAGTTGTGGGGGGCATTGTTTACCCCTAAAATATTTTTGGCCTAAATTCAATGCCGTAATAATGAGTCTCGGCATTTAATATCGCATGGCCAAAACGATGTCGTTTGGAGTCGAGCAATACCGCGGAGAATTTAAGCGAGACCGCGATGAGGCTCGGCGGTACCGCGGTACTTGAAACGACATTGGTTGCAGACCATGTGTGAGTCATGCGCAGGACATGTGTTGTTGTTGGACAAATGAATGTTTTTATTTTATTTTTCCTTGTCGGAGTCAAGCAATGCTGCGAAGAGATAAAACGGTGCCACGGGCCTCAAAGCTCAACGGCATCGCGAGACTGGGAAACGGTGTCGTTTGGCTAAAAACGGCATCGCGACAAGCGGCATCGCGGATGAGTTAAAACGGTACCGCAAGGAAGCTTAGTGGTACCGCGGCATTGGAAACGACACCGCGGGTAAGCCCAGCAGTACCGCTGTATTAGCAAACGACAGTGTTTAAATATTTGAACAAAGTCGCGGAAAGAAAAACAAACGGAGCTGTTTGGAGAGGAAACGACATCGCGGAGCTTGAAAACGATATCGCGCGAGGAACCACCAATACCGCGGTGGTGGATAAAGCCGCGAGCTAAACAACATTGCGGTGGAGAGAGATGTCGCGGTCGCGAATCTAGCGGCGTTGCTAGTGCGGCAGTGCCGCGAAGTTCAATGATGCCGCAAGGCCAAAGCAACATCGTGGAGTTCAACGAAGGCCATCGACTTTGTGTGGTCAACGACGCCGAGAGATCAACAATCTAGCGGTGAGTACGCGGTGACGAGGGTGAAACAACAATGTTGTTTTAATCGATGGCGGTATCGGGATTCGAACCATGGTACAAAGTTGATGTGTGTGCACGTGAATTTTACGCAAAGCAGAAAGAGGAGATCAAGGCAGTTGAGACTAGGGCTGCAAATATAGCCAAGCCGCTCGCGAGCAACTCGGCGTTCGAATCGGAAAAAACTCGTTCGACACTCGACTCGTTATTTAACAAGCCGACTCGCGAGCCAACTCGTTAGTTAACGAGCCAAGCCTGAGCTAGACCATGCTCAGCTTGATAAGCTCGCGAGCTAGCTTGATTCGGTGGCTTGTCGAGCTAAGCTCGCAAGCTGCCTTGTTTTGAGCTTGTGGAAGGATGAATTACTCTTTTAAACATGAACATTGTCTTATAATACAGATGTGTATGAAATTTAGATGTTATTTCTAGTTTCTAGTGTTCTTTCTATCATTTAAATTCTTATGTTTATATATTTTTCCAGCAAAAATGATTTTAAATCGAGCTCATCTTGAGCCGAGCTTGTACTCAGCTTAACAAGCTATGTTAATGAGCATTTATCGAGCTCTACCGAGTCGAGCTCGAGCTAGATTATTTTTATTCAAGCCGAGCTCGAGCTCGAGCTGGATTATCAAAATTCGAGTTCGAGCCGAGCTCGAGCTGAAAAATTAATAAACGAGCCGAGCTCAAGCTAAGTAAAAACTCGACTCGACTCGGCTCGTTTGCAGCCCTAGTTGAGACACGTGGGATTTCAGGACGGAGCAGTTGAGGAAGCAGTTCTACAGAGCGTGAAGACTACGAAGTTGGTTTTAGATAAAATCAACCCTGCAAGGAGAGAGAGAGGACAAAAAAAAATCAACACAGAACAACTCTGTTCCAAACTTACCTTTTTCTCTGTAACTCCTTCGCGGAGCTCTCCTTCCAGGAAGAATCTCCATAGTTGGTAGAAGTAGTCGTAGTCGCGGAGCTCTCCATAGGAGTAGCAGTAACGTAGATTCCCCAAAACCCAAACACCCTCGTTCGAACGTAGTTTGGAGAGGTGCGAACCGTAGTAACGGTCGCGTTGGTTAGAAGTCAGAGGTGCATCGATCAAATCAACACCGCCCGGCGGTGGATATTTGACGGTCACGTTGATTTCACCATTTAGAGGTGCATCGATCAAATCAACGGCGCCGACATTCGGCGGCGGATATTTGACGGTCGTCTCGATTTCAGCAATCAGCGGTGCATTCGTTCAAACGGCACCGCAAGAGTTTCCACCGCGAAACATCAAATCAACATTGCCGGAAACGAATTCGACACCGGCAGTGGCATTTGGTTTTCCCGAGGAAACAATTTGGCACACCTAGTGGGACACGTGTGTTTGAAGTGAAATATGGCTCTGCGGCATGGAAAACACAACGTTGATCTTTCACAAGAATCTGTGAAGGTGGAGCATGTGGTCGGCATTGAAGTTAACCGAGCAGAGGAGGCAGATAGACACATCGGTTGGATGAACGAGTGGCTCCAATCCATGTCGAACACTGACGGGCGTGTTGCACTCCTGTCTCTTCGTCGATCTATAGAGGAGTATTACCGACAGGTAAATCTCTATTTTATCTCTTTAAATAAGTCTTGTGATTCTCTTGAAAGACATATGGATAAATTTTTTGAGATGATAGATGAACATGTTTCTGATATTGCCAATAAGGATTCACTTAAAATGGTGGCTAAAACAGTGGCGTTAGGGGCCAACAAATCTCATGTTGGTTCTCCTATGAACACTATTGTTTTGAAGGACAGGAAGGTTAGAGCTGTCTTGCGAAAGCCACAACAAAGAACAAAATTTAAACGTGTTTATAATAAGTTTCAGAAAATTAGGAAGAACAAGTGTGATATTTTGAAAGATGAAAAATTTTACAACATTATTTGACGGTCGTCTCGATTTCAGCAATCAGCGGTGCATTCGTTCAAACGGCACCGCAAGAGTTTCCACCGCGAAACATCAAATCAACGTTGCCGGAAACGAATTCGACACCGGCGGTGGCATTTGGTTTTCGCGAGGAAACAGATTGTATTTTAGTACTTCAATATCCGTTGACTGAATTTACCTCGTATTACATGAATAATAATTATGTTTGATAAGACAATTTCTAATTGGACAAAGGATAGTTCAAGAATTTTCATTTTCTTATATTTAAAGTTTCTTAGGCCACAATACATCTTACTGTTCGAACAAGGCGTCAAGAATTGATTGGACGACTCTTACGACGAGAAACTAATTGGTATCAACAATTTTGTGGTTGTAAGAGATTCAAGTATGAATTTTATATTCCCTTACACATCCCGATCAAACAAAGGCCCTTTCATCAACTTGAAGTTTGCACAAACCACTATTATGGTTGGTATCCCAAGTCCAAGTTTTTATTGTTATATCCAAGTAGTCAAAATTACCTTTCAAGTTTAAAAGCTTATGCGTTTACACTTCTAGGTCGTCAAAATGCTTCTACCTAGAGTCGCACTTTTCAATTACAATTATAGTCAAAATCGCACTTTAAAACTTGAAATCTTACAATTTTAAGTTTTTAGTTCACCAAAACACTTCTACAAAGAATCGCAATTTTCACGGCATTATTGTGAGGGAATGAGGCATAGTGGGCTTGATTTGGGCCCAGGTGGTGGTAGCAGGTAGGGGTGGAAGTTTGATACCGGTATTTGGGATATACTGAATACCGTACCGAATTTGTCTATATTTGGTATGACCGAATACACGTATTATTTCTTCGGATTGGGATTGGGATTGAATTTCAATTGTTATTCGGTATTAGGGATTACGGGATTGGGATCGGTATATACTGAAATACCGATCAATACCGAAATATAAGCTAGTGTATATTTTATCTTCTCGACTAGACTCACTCATTCACTACTACATGACCCTCAACCACCAAGAGTGTCATTTGATTATACACAGATCATTCCATCACTATTAATAGTCGTCTCTCAACCTCCAATTCGTCAAATTAAAGATTACCAATGACAAGAACTTGTGATGTCTCCCCTCCTCCATTCTCCTTAATAATTTCCTAATTCAAGACTCTTCGCTTAGTCTTTTCCCCCTAAATTAAACTATAAAATCTAATTAGTATATTTAATTATTAATTGCAAAGGTAATTAATTTCGTATTCGATAATACTGATTGGGGTAACGAAATATTTAGGGATTGGGATTGGAATACCGAAATTATTTAGGAATTGAAATTGGTATTGACTTTGAAGTGTAATTCGGTATTCAAGATTATGGTATTTGGTATTAAGATACCGATACCATACCGATTTCCACCCCTAATAACAGAGGCATGTAGGCCGAATGTGATCTGGCCCCTTTGGAACTTGAAACACGAATCTACCAACAGGAAGAACATAATTGGCCTAGTCCATTGACATTACTATAGTCATAAAGAAGATGGGGTCCGTTCATTAGGCCCGCTATGCATGGAAATGGTATCTGGACACATTGAAAAAGCCCATATGCGGTATATAATAGGTCAATACTACGGTGCCACTATTAAAAATGCGGTATCGATGTCGCTACATTTAATTGGTCATGTGGGGACCGATAATTCATCCAACTATAAATTAGCAGGGACAATGATACATGAGCATTATGGTCATATATATTGGACTCGTGTTGCTCATACCCTTAACTTGATCTTGAGTGACATTGGATCTATGTCTCATGTCAGAAGCTTACATATCGAGCTACTAAGGTCTCCAAATTTGTTTACAATCATGGTCCAATTTATTTCTGGTTGAAGATCTGGTGCTACTAGATTTGCTACTACATTTTAGAGTTTGCAAAGTACTTTTGAGCACATGCATGATTTGGAGGAACTGGTGATTAGAGAGTTCTTTAGAGAAAGTGACCTTTCAAGTACTAAGGATGAAAAGGATGTGAAGGTAATTGTACTCGATCAACAGTTTTGGACTAATTGTGACTTCATTGTTAACGAATTCAAGGCGCATTTATTTCAATTCAACGTGAGTTTTTCCACATAAAACAAATTGACACACCTGGTGAGATCTTGTGATTGATTTGATCGATCCAAGACAGACAACAAGAAGATGATCTCTTACCTGAATTTGTGAAGAGACGAGTGGCTATGTTTGAACTTGGACAAACAATAGAAGGTATTGCCAGAAACAATGGCTATGTTATAAACCTGATTTTCTTGCTAGTTTATTGATTAGTGGGAAAGCACACACTAATGGCGCAAGAGTTTTCAAGTTAATTAGTCGCATACTCTCATCATTTTTTAATTCTGATTGTCACCCCAAACTTCAAAAACTTGGTTTCTTCAACATTCAAGTTAGCACCTATAGCTTTCAGCAGGCATATTATATATTACAGACGAAGTCGGGTGAAAAACTAGGAGAAGTGACCCAAACGGGTATTACAGATACCCGTATAACACAAACGGGTAACCCGTGGGTACCCATTATAGAAATTTTTATTTCAAGTTACATCGCATAAAAAAATTACGGGCTTTTGGGTACCCATAACTCTTAAAAAATAGAACGGGTATGGATATACCCCAAATACCCATTTCGCGTTACCCACTCTTAAACCAGACACGTGAGAAAGGCACAAATATTATGAATATTGTTACACATGACATATTCGTACAACACATTTGACATATTCGTACATGGCATATTCATGTTGAATACGTTTAACAAGTGTTGTGAATATTCTTAATCGTCGTTGTGAATCTTCTCAGCAACTTTTCACTAAAAAAAACATTTATAACAACTGTTATTTATCTGACTGAACATATTCTGTGAATATGGAAAACATGTGTATGCCCAACAATAGTTAATAATATTCACAAAATGTGTTTAGTGAGAACATTCATAATAGTTATTAATAACGTTCACAAAATTTGTTTAGTGAGAATATTCATAACCGTTGGTAAGAATATTCACAACAGATGTTAACAGTATTTACAAAACTTGTTAAATGTATTCAATGTGAGTGAATACTCTAGAAAATATTGTATGAATATGTCAAATATGTTGTACGAATATATCACTCGTGAGTTATGAATACATCAGTTCACTTATCAAAATACCTTGAAAATGTGTATAATACATATCAGGATTGATGTCATTGGATGCAAAAAAAAAAATTTAAAGAGTAGTTGATTTACAAGTTTTCTTAAAAAAATAATGTTGTGAAAGCACGTCCTTCCCAGTGTCCACGTCATCGGTAGTGATGCCAAACGGGCAGGGCGGGTATGGGTATCCAAGAGAAGGTTGGGCGATACGGGTCGACCCATTCAGTGGCGGACCCATGTAGCTTTGGGGTATCTCGGAACACTTCTAAAATTTGAAAAAATGATTATCCAACTCCCGATAGTAATTTGCTTATGGGTATAAAAAGAATATTTAAGTAATAGCAGAGACCCTTAAAATTTGGAAAAAAAACGATTATCCAACTCCATATAGAAGTTTGCGTATGAGTAAAGAAAAAATTGTATTGATAGGCGATGTGATTTGAATATGGGACAATGCTACATAATATTAGACATTAGTATACTTTTCCATTAGACTACAATTCATAGTAGTAAAACACTCTTATATCCCAATTATTTTCAAAATCTAACGATTAAACCCAATTTCGGGCTATCCTTGTCTAGTATGATATGTCAAGAGAGACTTGTTGAGCATTGTAGACACCGAATGTATTTTTACAATTTTTTAGACTACGAAACATATTGGTGGGTTTTGTTGTAACTTGTACTAATCGGATATTTTCTGTAGTTAATAATTTTTTAATTTTTTAATTAAATATAATTTTTTGAAGAGGACACCTCTATGTAAAATTTAAGTGTCTCCCGCTGGACCCACTCTTACATGTTATTTGGAAAAAATACATACAAAATTTTATTTAATACGATAAATGAAAAGATAATAGTTTATGAAAGAAAAATAGTGATAAAATGATAGATAATTGAGTCTAATTAGTTAAAGAAAATCTAAAATAGGAGAAATATAAATAGATATGGTAAGAAATTGAGATATAATGGGTCAAGAACTAGGCAGGTGGCAAGACGAGTCAAAAGTGGATACCCATGTACCGCCCTACCCTACCACGGATCGCGTAATACGCAGTTCATCGCCGATCAAGTCGGGTAATACTCGACAGCACAAATTTAGATTATAATCCCTATCGCCAATCAATCAAACGACGTACCATATGTCGCCAACCTAAGTTGTCACATATGTCTTCCCCTGCAATGTCAGTAAAAACACCACTATAGAAGTACCGCCATTTTAGAAATGCTCTTTTAAACAATATTTCATTTTCACCTATTTCCTTCCGATAAATTTTCTTTGGGTTATAGGTATTTTATACTTCTCTACTATGTCATTTTGTCAAATATGTCCATCTACTATTTTTTACATCAAACATGTCTATGTACTTTGAAAAAGTTATCAAACATACTTTTTTAAAAATTTCATTGCAAAAAATGTCAATCATGGTTGAACCGAGATTTAGACGACCCTACATCGGCAAATGGGAGGGAAAATATCAGTTTTATCCCCTGTTTTAATGAGTCTCGTCAAAGTGAATTTATTAAAATTATTTTGCCTACAGAAAAGAACCAAAAAAATTCTAAAGTGAAATTATTAGAGATATTTTAGACATTTGTGTCGCCCAAACAAAAGTTTGATCGTGGTTAACGGTTTTTGGATGAAAATTTTAACAGAAGTGCATGTTTGATCATTCTTTCAAATTACGTGAGCATGTTTGATGTAAAAAATAATAAAGAAGCATGTCTGATAAAACGACAGAATTGAGAGAAATATTATACCTATAATGCTATAACCCATTTTCCTTTCCAAAATTCTCATTTTCCTCTTCAGACCTCGTCAGAAAATTCACAGCCCAGCTTCAGACCCTCATCAGAAAATTCACAGTCCAGTTTTGCGAAGTAATGATTTTTCGGTACAAACAAGTTAATATTTGCTATTCAGCAAGGACGATTTCACTTTTGCTCATTACAATAAATTAATCGGCTTCTCACCAAAAAATAAATAAATCGGCTGATCTTCTGACACCCACATTTTCTTGGAACAAAACCTTTTCATACATAATAATGAGAAGATACAGAATCAGTCACCCCCGACTCTCTTCCAACATGCTTTACCAGAGTATTAGACCTTGATCACACAGTAAACCCCAAGACCGAAAAAAGAAAAGAAAACTATAATGGGTGGAACTGAATCAATTTCATCAGTAAAATTTCAGTTTCCCCGTAGTCACAGAGGTCTTAGCATGCTCTAAATGACACAACGCCTTTTCTTTCCCGGACATCCCAGAACATGATCCTGCCGCCGCGGTGGCGCCTAGTGTAATGGCGAAGTAGAGGTAGATGGTGCATAGAAAGGCCAACAGAGTCAAAGCTGTCAGCAGGAATCGGTGTCTGTTCAGGAGCGTTGACCAGCTGCCAAGTTCTTCTTTGGGGAATCCTTTCCGAAGAGATGATATCCTATGAGGGGAAGATAGGCTGTCAAGTACCATAATGTCTAACCTCCTGCAAGGACCTGAAACATTGGGGGTGTCGATTCGGATCAGTTCCTACAGTACTGAAGGAAGTCCGTGGAGATGATAACAACAAATTTCCATTTTGTGAACAATGTACAGCAAAATAGATGTGTGGGTCAAAGTTATGCAGGAACATGAACAAATCTGCCTTAGATAATGAACAGCAGAGACCATTCTAAACCTTTGAAAGGAACAATGCCAATTGCTAATGAGGGTAGTAAGAGACAGTTACCCACCATTTGTTACACCCCATAAGAAACAACTGTAATGGGGAGAGAATGCTAACTCGACTTCATCTCGAAACACTCCATTTCAGATAAATTACAAGTCAGAACCAAGAAATGCCTCGTGAAAAGGACCAATATAACGATGAAAACATCACTGATAATCAATTATCAGGGCCACCTAGCCAATGAATCAAAGCTCAATGACTGCAGAAGTGTTGTAAATTACAGAGGTGAGATCAGCGGGGAGAAAGCCAATATAGAACTAACTGCAGGGGAGGTTCAGATGAGCTATGAATAAATGACGTTTCATACTCAAGAACAAAAACCGAGACACCCTGTCATTTGTAATGGACCAAGTCCAACGAACTACCGAACCATAATTCGGGAAGTGGTAGTTTAACAACTAATGCATCACGAGCATGAACTCGAGATAGATCGGGAGCCATTCTTGGAAAATCAAAGGAAGTTAACCATGGCAATTTGTTCATGATGCACCACAAGAATGTAGTAAGGAACTAAGGAAGGGCAAGCTAAGCAATTAAAATGAGATGAAAGCATGTCCACTGCTTCTGTATGACATAGCAGATCCAGGCAAAATAAGAACACAATCTAGAGCTCGAAAGATCATGGTCAAGAATCCTATAGATTGACAAACAAAGATCTAGGACCCCACAAAGATGTTCAAAATTCTCCAACTCGATAAATGGTCCTCCTAATACTAATCGAAATCTTCTTACTGCAATAACGCCGGCCACAACAAGTTTTCCTTTCCGCCCTCCCTTCTTAGTGCAATAGACCCGGTTACTATTTTCAAAATTGTTCAAAGAATACCTCCAACAATCAAACATTTCAGCAATGCCAAGCATGAAATTTACATTCATACATTTCGCAAATCACTCTAATTCTGTAGATTGTAAACCGAGGTTCTGAACATTTTCTTTATCCCCATTTTACAATCTCCACGTTTCAGCTAAAACTTTCCCCGGAATCCCAGATCCGTGTCTACCTCATCAAGACAAAGGATTGCTTCAACACTAAATCTAAAGATAACCCATTTCCTGATTTTTCTGTGCCAATCTCGACAACCGACTCCAAAGAATGAAAAAACAAATCCAGGATCGTTCGGTGCAGATCTGAAGGAAGAAAACAAGACGGGAGAGAGAGGATTACTTACAGTTTTCAGGCGGGAAGGATAGAGAAAAAAAGGAAGAAGGAAAGATCGGGGGAGCTCTGGGATTTCGGCCGGCACGCACGTCGGGAGGAGGAGGGTCGACCTTCTTCTCTTCTCTTCTCTTCTCTTCTCTTCTCCCTCGTTTCTCTTTTATTTTCCTCTTTAGATTTTTCGATTGCTTGAGGTTCTCTTCTCCCCCGTGGATGTCGGGAATTAAAAGATATGTTGTATTATCGAGGCCATGGCATCGCAAGTAGTACACTAAATTCAGGGATCCATCCATAAAGAACAATAAAGTCAGGAATCCATACCGTTAAATCACCTCTCATAAAGTAGATGGCAACAAAACTCGAAACCTACGTATCCAACCCGGTTAATGCGGGTAAAACTCATTTTGACGGGTTTCGGGTCAAGTTCGTATATTAACCTGGTACACTGTTCACCAAGTTGGATTTGGTTTGGATTTAGAGATACCCGACTCATGGATACCCGCCCACGCTTATTCTGTCACCCTACTCTCTCCAAACCCTACCTTAATTCTAATTTTCCTCAATCTAACTCTACCCAAACCCTGCCTTAATTTTATTTATTACCAAGGTAATGTTTCCTTTTTCCCAAAAGAAGTGGGAGGGATAAATTAAATAATTGAAGTTGAACACACCATGTTTGTTGTTTTTTGCTCTCTCACAAACAAAAAGGGAATGAACGAAAAACAAAGAATTGTGTGCTTTTATTTAGTGTAATTGTGATTTGTTTGAATTTTATAGACTAGTGTTTTGTGTATAGATAATATGTATGAGGAAATTGATGTTTGACTTTTATTTTTATAGGAACTTGTTATTGTAAATTTTTTATCACAAAAATCCACGGGTACCCATAAACCCGCAGATACTCAGCGGATTGGATTGAGTTTGAGTTTTCCAAACTCAATGGGTTTTACCCCGAGTTTTTTTAAGGATAAACCCATGAGTTTGGGTTTGGGTTTGACAAAACCCGACCCATTGTCGTCCCTGTTAGAGGTGTGCAACGGTTCGGTCCGGACCAGACCAAACTCATGAGTGTTAGTGTTGTGGTATATGATCCACGATTGAACTTCTCCCAACAACTCGAGTTATTGGGATCAACTGGTTCATGACATGGTATCAGAGCTTTCTGTGACCAAAAGGTCTTGTGTTCGATTCCCGGTGACCCCCATTTGTTAAGCACATGGTATTCTTGTCTTCAGACCTGTGCAAACTTCAAGCCCTTGTGAGTGGCTTTCGTTTGAGGGGGCGTGTTAGTGTTGTGGTATATGATTCACGATTGAACTTCTCCCAACAACTCGAGTTATTGGGATCAATTGGTTCATGACCATGAGGACCGCGGTCCATTAGTGAAAGACATCTTAGGACCAAGGATCGGACCATCATTGCGTTCAGTCCATTTGGTCTGTTTCAGTCTGGTCCAAATATCAGCTCGGTCCATCATTTCTTCAATAATTGTAAAATTCATATGGACCAAGAACCGGACCGCATTATACTCGATCTGATGCAGTCCGATCCTGAACCGGACCATTGCACATCCCTAATCCCTGTCATAAGTATCCAAAAATGCCAAATATTGAGGCTAAATTGACATTTTAGCTATCCAAAATGCATTTTGCTCTAATAAATGTGTAAAAGTTCCAAATTTTAATTTTCACCCGTAATCTAGTTTAGTGTAAATTTTATCATTTTAACTAGATTATTTTCTCATTGTTTTTTATATGTATAATAATTAATTAAAATGAACATTTTGACATAATTTTTGTGTCATTAAAATTGACGTCTAGATAGTAATAACTAAGACAAACATTAGCTCTTAAGAAGAGGTTCATTAGCAGGTCGTTTTCTTAAGAAGAGATTTGGGCGAGTATTGCAAGCGGTGATGGTGAAAAAGCGTTTGGCCCGGACGACTTTACATGGGAGTTCTATAAGAAGTGTTGGCACTTCATTAAATTTGAAATCGTTTATGCTTTTAATGATTTCTTTATCTCAGGGTTTTTGTCAAAGAGTATTACACACTCCTTTATCTGCCTTGCTCCGAAAAAGGATGTGGTGGAGGACACTAGAGACCTTCGGCCAATCAGTCTTATGGGTAGCTTCCATAAATTATTCAGCGAGGTTCTTGCAAGAAGACTCAGACTGGTTCTCCCTAATCTGGTGTCTCCCAACCAGCAAGCATATGTGAAAGGAAGGCAGATTGGAGACGCGGGTCTAAGAGCCTTTGAACTTGTTGATAGTCGTAAAAGGAGCAGAAAACCGGGGTTAATGTTCAAATTGGATATTGAGAAAGCTTTCGATAACGTAAACTGGAATTGCCTCTTTAGAATCTTGTCTCGGATGAGATTTTCTCTGCAGTGGGAGCATTGGCTCCATGGTACGATGTGCTCCCCTGTCATTTATGTTCTTGTTAATGGAGAATCGAAAGTCTTCTTTCCTGCTCAAAAAGGGTTGAGACAAGGGGATCCTCTCTCCCCTGGGCTCTTTTCTCTTGTGATGGATGTCCTGTCGTTCATGATTTCGAGACTCAGGGAGGAAAGAAAAATTATCAGGTTCTATATGAATGAGGTTGAGGGCAGCGGGGAAGTCACTCACTTGCTTTTCGCAGACGATACTTTGATATTCTGTGATGCTTCGTATAGTCAGGTCCTTAACATTTTGGGCACGTTGGTTTGTTTTCAGACTGTTACGGGGTTAGCAATCAACCTTGACAAGTCAATTATGCTCACTGTTGGGGATGTTCCTAACACTAATTACTTCGCAGCTATCTTGGGTGCAGATGGAGTGGTGAGACCTCAAAATATTTGGGTTTCCCTTTGAGAGCCAGGCAAAATGTTGTTTCGATCTGGGACCCTATTATGGATAAGTATCAGAAGCGGTTGGAGGGCTGGAAAGGTAGACACCTCTCTCTAGGTGGCCGACTGGTTCTTATGAAGGTTGTCCTTTCCAGTCAGCATGTGTATTTCTTCACCCTTTTCCGCGTTCCTGTCTTGGTGGTTAAAATAATGGAGGCTATTCCGTGCCGATTTGTGTGGAGTGGAGCTGGCAATTTGCGCAAATTCCCTCTAGTTAAGTGGGAGGTTTGTAAAGCTCTTATTTCTAAGGGTGGCCTTGGTATCCTTGATGTTTCATGCTTTAACAAAGCAATGTTGGGGAAATGGCTCTGGAAGTTTGCTGCCGAGAGGGCTTCCTGGTGGAGTTCTCTTATCAAGGCCAAGTACCCTAACCCGCAATCAGATTGGTGTACACAGAAAAGAAATAGGGGCTTTGCAGGTTCCGTGTGGGCCAACATAACCAAGGGTCACGATAAATTTTGGAAGATGGCTTGTATTAATCTCGGCAATGGTGTTTGGACGTCTTTCTGGCATGATTGTTGGATTCCTGAAGTGACCCTCGCTGATAGTCTCCCCAGAGTCGATGCCGCCTTGTCTTGCACAAATGCTCGGATCACAGATGTCATGTCCCTCTTAGGTGAGACTGTTTCTTGGAATTTTGGTTTATCTACTAACCTTAGGGGAGGGGCTGAGAGAGAGCGTGAGTCTTTATTGAATCTTCTTAACGCGATGGGTACCAGTATGGTCTCCAGTGGGCCTCCTAGGCCTGTCTGGATGCCAAACCCAGATGCTTCCTTTTCTGTTCATTCTATGTACAGGTCGCTAGTTCATAACAAGTTCGTTGGGGTGCACAACTTCCCGGCAGATTCGGTGTGGAGGAAGACTGTTCCCTCAAAAAATTATGTTTCATGTGGCTTGTCTCTCATCGTAGGCTCCTCACGATTGAGAACATGAAAAAGAAAGGCTGGTCTCTTACAAACTGATGTGAGTTGTGCTGCAGAGACGAGGAAAACGCAGACCATCTCTTTATTAGTTGTGGCTTTGCTCAAGAAGTGTGGAACGGGGCTAAGAAGGTGTGTAGCTGTCTCTCGATGGATATTGTCTCTACTATTTGTAGGTGGAACTCTGACCCGGTTGGAAACTTGGTTGGACGGATTTGTGTTGGCTTACTTCATGCGATATGTTGGCAAATTAGAAAGAAATCAACGCATTTTTCGGAAGAAAAAAGTAACTGCTTTTGTGGTTGCTCGCAAAGCTGTGAGAAGTGCGTTGGAGCAGGCGATTGTACATGGTAAAGCTGACAAGGATCAAGGGGTACAATGGTTTAGGGAGAATCTCCAGCACATGTGATGGTGCTGCCCTCTTCCTGTTGCTGGTTGTGTGTCTTGTGTGTTGCTGGTATTTGTTGGATTCATTTGCTAGGTTATGCGATGCGGTGCAGGATTGGGTCATGTTGGCCTTTTTCTTGCTTGGTGTCTTTCGGCAGTTGCGGATGGTTTTTGTTCTCAGCTTGATTTGTTTGTTGGCTGGATTGTGGTGTTTGGGTTTGCTGCAAGTGGCTTGAGAGTTGACTCTGGTGCCTTCCCTCGTTGGTCTTGTGGTGACGGGCTGGTTGGCGTGTTGGGTTGGTTTGGTCCTTTTTGTGTTCCTTTTATTTCTGGGCTTGTTTGCAGGAGTGGTCTGGTCCGCTTAGCAATCTTCATCCCCCTCTCCTACCTCTTATGTCTTCTGTTTGTGGTTTTCCTGTCTTTCCCTTCTTTTTTTTCTTTTCTTTTCGTCTTTCAGGTTCAATGCTTTTGAACCCTGTTTCCCTGTTCCTGTTTCGGTTTCGATTCCTTGTTTTGAGCGCTTGTATTGATGTTGTTCCTTTTCTGGTTTTTTAATTTATGTTAATCACCATTATCCAAAAAAATTAATTAATTCTTGAACATTTTGACAAAAAAATTGTATCATTAAAATTGACGTCTAGATAGTAATAACTAAGACAAACATTACCTCTTAAAATTAATTAATTCTATTTAGTTTTTTACTAGTTATTCTTTAGGAAACAAAGATTTTTTCTTTTAAAAGGGAGAAGAGAATTAAAAATATGAAAGAAAAAGAAGGCATGGGACAGGTGAATTGATGAAGTTGACCATCCGAGAGTGTTAAAAGTCGTCACTAGTCAAAGTTCTTTTCTACCTCATGCCATGTTTTCATATCCGCCAACGCACCTTCTGACGGTCAACCCATCTCAAGGAGTCCAAAGATTAACTAAACAGTCTGACACGACCCATCATATAAAATGATGCCTTATCTTAGGTAGAAATCCATGAGAACCATGGCATCAACGATGTTGTCTAACAAAGAGGCTGACATCTATTTCCCTCTTGGGCTTGGTTGCTTGGCCTACAACCAACCTCTCCTCCAAATTTGGATGTGTTTCAATTTATAGAACGCTGGTTGGACCTCGGTCAAAGTTGGGTCTACTGTACTACCAATTCTACTTGTTTTAGCCATAAAGTGAGCTTCCAATATTTGAATATATCTCTGTTTGAGCCCATGAGCTTGTAATCTCGGCCTTCTTTTGATTTATTGGGTCCCTTGGTGATCCATAATTGTCTTGAGTGCGTTATATTCTTGAAAAGCAAAAAAAAAAACATCAAAAGACTTAAAATATTATAAAAACACACTAAATGTCTATCACAAAAAAAGGGAGTTGCTAATTATCGCCCTAACTCTATATAATCGCCCTAAATTATGAGTTGGAAATTACCGCTTGATCCTTCTATCTTTGTTAGTATAATATTTTATACTAATAAAAAGAATCCATCCAAGAAACAAAATTTTGACGGTTGTCCAGCCGGTAGCCACTGACCGCCTGGCCCCTGATTACACCGCCGCCTTCATATTGTCATTGATAACAGAGGATTCATCACCATGGGGGAGAAGGGTAAACGTGATGATAGCAGAGGATTCATAGTTTTGGGAAGATCCAATTAAGTTGATGACGTACGTTTATCAATTATTTTCCTCCTTGTGCAATTCTTTTCCCCTACCAAGAGATGTTGAGACTCAATGCGGCCTATAGAATCGGGGATGGAATACATAGAGAAGGAAGACGTACGTCACACGTAGTGTGGGAGAAGGAACGGCGGCGACAGAGGGTTGAGGAGGTCGGCCGCTGTTTGGGGACGGCATCACTAGCGGTTAAAGGATGTGGAGAGAATCGACGGCAAACGGTAGTTTGGCGGGTGCCGGGTGCTTATCAACGAAAATAGGGTACTATAAAAGGATAATTTAGTAATTATATGTTTTAAATTAGGGCGATTGTAGTAAATCTAGGGCGACGTTTAGCCATTCAGTAAAAAAAATCCTGAATAATGTCAAGACAATAGTTAGCAAGAACTCTATCCACAATCCCTTCCCATCCCACTAACAAGTCAACCTATAAAATCAAACAGAAGCTAACTCTATCCGAGACAGCAATAGGGCTTAACATGCCACTCTACGAGCAGCCCAGTTGGCAGTCCACGCAGCCGCACTAAAATCTATACAATGAGAAAAAGACTCAAGAAAAAGCCAACAATCTCGAAGGAGGAGCCCTCCAATGGAACCTTCATCACACCAAGGTTGAGCTGGCGGATGACAACTTCTGCATCGGCTTCGAGGATGACACGGGAAAAAGAGAATGCACCCCTAGGTTCAAGGAGTACTGCGGGATACTGGTCAAAGATCCACTGATGCTGGACATCAAAGGCCAGAAGTACTTGCGCGTCCGTGCCACGAACAATAAAGCTAGACGAGCACCCAAAAACTTGGACAACATCATCCAAAATTGATCTTCCTATTGTCTTGAGGAGGACATTCCCAGAGAGGACTAGCAGACGTAGGAGCACGAGGTAGGGATGACGAGACAAGCGATAAGGAGGAGAGCACTTCATGGGACTGAAACTAGGATTGGCGGGCAAGCGAACAGACATGAAGTTGGGTATTTTTAAATACCATTTCATTTCTTATTTTTCCATATTCTTCATAAGAGACATACTACAAGCTCGAGAATATGGGTTTGGGACTGCTTAACTAGCATAACTTGATGCCACCAGCGCACCACAAACTAAGGGCTCGTTTGCTAGTTGGATTTGTAAATAAGGTTTTGAGTTTTGAAAACCTTTGGATTTATGATAGATTTGTTGCATTTTGTATTTGAAAGATAACATTGTTTGTTGAGTTCATTTTTATCATGGATTTAAAGGTTTTTGCTCCACGGCTCACAAAACTTTGCCTTCCATGACCAAATACCAAATGAAATGTAGTATTTGCAAATACGTGGGGTCCATGGATTTAGAGATAAAAAAAAGGACAAAATCTGTGGACCCCACGAATTTGTATATTTCAACAAACAATGTTATTTTGGCAAATACATAATGCTTGGGATTTGAGTACCAAATACATCACCCAAATCCCACAAGCAAACGATACCTAAAATTCACTGTCAGGGTCAAAACAAGAATATCACTTAATCCCACAAAAGACCATAATTGGATGACAAGGGGGCAATGAGAGAACAAATGTTCAATACTTTCTCGGAAACTCGAGCATGTTAGTGTTGTGGTATATGATCCATGATTAAACCTCTCCCAACAACTCGAGTTATTGGGATCAACTGGTTCTTGACATGGTATCAGAGCTTTCTATGACCGAGAGGCAGTGGCGGACCCAGAAATGTAATCAAGGGTATTCAATCATAGATCAAAATCATTAAGGGTTGTCAAATAATCTTACATTTGTATACTATAATGACTAAAAAAAATTACAGTGATTTTGGTTTCCCAAATTGGATCCAAGGTTTGTCAATTGACAACCCTTTCACCCACTTGGGTCCGTCCATGCCGAGAGGTCTTGTGTCGATTCTCGGTGACCCCCATTTGTTAAGCACATGGTATTTTTGTCTTCAGACCTATGCAAACTTCAAGCCCTTGTGAGTGGCTTTCGTTTGAGGGGGCGTGTTAGTGTTGTGGTATATGATTCACGATTGAACCTCTCCCAACAACTCGAGTTATTGGGATCAACTGGTTCTTGATAGAGCAAACATAACATCGCTTTAGACAACTAGATTGAGTTCACCTATATCAATATTAAGTAGTAAAAAGACCATAAACTATTTTTATTTTACTTCTTTCCATCTCATAAATCGAGAATTAAATGAACTATTAAAGAACGTAAAGCGCCATAAGAAGATCGCTATAGTGATTCACTAATCACTTATAACGGGCCATTAAAAACCCAAATGGGGACTTAAGGATTTCATATTGGGAGTAATACACGAAATCAACGGAGAACTGGAGCAACAATTTTGCCGTGGACGAGTTATTGATTTCCGTTGGCTAATCAAGACAAATTAGTAGACATAATTCCCACATAATTGGAATAATGTCACTATCAATAAAGAGAAATTTTACAATGCTATATAGTATTGGTACTATAGGTTTTTCTCTTTATGGTACAACTTGAAGTTGTACTTTTAACGTTATGGTACAACTTCAGATTGTACCTATACTCCTTTGTCAAATTGTTTTATGGTACAACTTAAACTTGTACTTTCATTTGATGGTACAAGTTTAAGTTATAAAGTTGTACCATAACATAAAAGCACAAATTCTTTTATGGTACAACCTGAACCTATACATTTAACGTTATGGTACAACTTTAAGTTGTACAATAAACCACCAATACTTTATAGTATAGTAGAAGTGCTCATCAATAAATGATATTGAATTCAGCAATAAACGCAAAGAGATGAGGCTGGGCGAGTGGTCTAAACGGAGACCGTTATAGGTGGCAATAAATTGCCCTTACTCTCCGGCCGATGGGAGTTTCCGGTGATATAGCCGTTTTCAGCCAACATCAGGCTGTTAGAGTTTGGCTTCGAGCCGCCTTTAGGATTCAGAGGGTTTGTGTTGGAGCTCTTCATTCCGTAAATGGACTTATCGCAAGTGGTAATACAGGACCTCTACTTCGATGCCGGTGAGAATGGTTGCGGGTCGTACGCCTCGTCGTTGCTGCCCGGCGCTGACTGCCCTGCAAATGTTGTTTTCATGGCAGCTTACTTTGCCGACAAGGACAGGAATCCCCAGCAGCTCCCCAACGTCTTCTGCATCTTCGAGAAGTACGCTTGGGGTTCTGTGGAAGTGAAAAAGGGTAGCGTAAAGAAGGGAGAAGAAAGGAACGAGACAGAGAGATACAAGCAATATCTATTGTAACCTCGTTTACACAATAAATAAAAGACAAATGAGAAAACTTGAAACCCCATTTCAAATTTTCTGCATCCAGAGTGAAAGTAGGAAGGATTCGAACCATGACTACTGTAAGAAAAACAAAGATCATAACAAATCACATTAAGTACATTTGTTGTATCTTTTTAAATTTAAAACATATAATCGCAGAGGAAAATACCCTTCCCCCATTTCAAATTCCTTGCCCCAGGAGCGTTTGTAGGAAGGGTAGAATAGGGAGTGTCAATTTTTTTCTTTTTCCTCTGTGGAACGGGCCAACTTACCGTACACATGCGGATTTAAACGGGTTTAGGAGTGTCAATTTTTTGCTTTTAAAAAAGCAAAAACAATACTCTTTTTTATTGCTAAAAAGAAAAAAAATTAACAATAAACTAATGCATTGTCACCCTTATAAAAAAAATAACAATAAACTAATGCATGGATTCTAATGGGCTAACCGCTAATCATAAAACAAAGGAGTTGAATGGGTCTGACCTACACGGGATTTGCCCATCAAGTAAATAAAATGAACATCATGTGTTTGTCATTCTAAAACAAGCTATTTTCTCTAGCATAATATATATTATGCTATTATTTTATATCTTGGTGGCTAAAATATAATGTATTTTAAAGTTATTCAATGGTTCAACCTCGAACCAACCCAATTAGTCCAATTTTATCATTTCAAATATATATTATGTAATTATTTGATATCATAATGATTAAATTATATTGTATATTATAGGGTATCGTTTGGTATTTGTTAGTAAAAAACTAAACAGAAAGATCTGTTTGGTTATTTTTAACTTTAAAACGATTCTAAACATTTTCAGTTTCCTTTCGAAATTCTATAGTTTTATTCCCGAATCAGTGATGTGCAAATGGCGAATTGCAGTCATCTCTTTTCTTTCAACATTTTTATTTTCAAATAGAAAGTTTAAAAGTAAAGAAGAATTAGAGTTTGGCATGGGTCGGTCAAACATGCTGAATTTCAAGTTTTGGCCCGTTTTGATCAAGTCTAATTTATAATCACATGGTTCCCCGATACCCGATAAAAATCTCAATCCAAACCAGTTTGGCAGGTGAGTCCGTGTTTACCACCATTTTCTAGAGATACAGGAGCGGTGGTTCCTATCCCAAATCGTGTTGTTCATTCTTGATTTCTTTAGATTTTATCATGGCTTGGCAAAAAACCAGAAAGCACAATGATGACAAGATGAAAGTTCTATAAAGCAAATTAATCGGCCAACGGACCGAGTAAAAGCTAGCAACGATTGTGAGATGCTCATTTTGCCGAAAACCGGCAGGATAGGCGATTTTTTATTCGATTTTCTGAAATTCGGTTTCTATAAAACTTACTCCACCTCATCATATTACCAGAAACAATATTGTTTCACAAGGTAATAGGTACTTGATTTTGGTTCATAAGGCTGATTTTTGATTCGTTGCATCATTCGTGTCTCTTTCCTACTAAAATTCACTATTTTTATCACGTGTTTCCCAAAAGAAACTATACAACAATAAGCTATACACCCCATTACATTATCAAATTTCATACCTCAACTTCCTCCAGCCAAATGGTCGGGGCCCACGCTAGTAAATCAAATAGTTATGAATTCCATATAAAATATAATAGAAATTACTAAAAATGTATTGATACAAGGGGAAAATGCATCAAATATTGAAGTGATAATACTATAAATGAAGTGTCATTACACACTTGAATTTTGTTTCTCCCCAAGCAAACACTACTCACAATCATACAACTAATTGAACACTAGGAACCATCACTTAATCTCGATTTTAGGTAATATATAAATCATAAGTAACTTATAAGGTCAACAATAACACGAGAGAATCTCCAATTTTATTTGATTAAAAATTGTTGCTTTACCTAAAGTTTAATTTTTAGGGTAATGTCTATTTTTTTCAAACATTTTCAGATTTTGTTTATATTATCCAAAACTATTAAAATATTATTAATTAGCCAAATCTTTCGTAATGCATCAAAATACTAGTCATTTTTATGTTATCGTTAATAAATTTGTAACTCTTTTTTTCGTTAAAATACTAAACTTTTGGTATATTGACTTTCATTTGTCTCTTCCAAGTCAATATCATGTTGTCAAGTCAATATTATGAACAAAACTGCTAAATGAAAATTGACATTTGGCTAATTCTTGGTATTTCGATAAGTTTGGCTAATAAAAAGAATCCGAAAAAGGTTTGGATAAAAAAATAGACATTAACCTAATTTTTAATATAAAATATCATTGAAAAATTAGATTATGATATCTAAATTTTATGAGGTTTTAGTATCTATAATTTTTTAAATTTACATATTAATCCAATGTTAATCCAATGTTAATGTCAGAAAATACCAATCAAGCTTGTAGAGTAATCGACATTTATCAAAATTATCAAAATATATGTCGCTAAAAAATACGTTACGCCAATATTTTTTTATGAATGACACCGCGCACTCTTATAGCTTGCATATTAACTTACATTTGTGAAAATTGTCATAATTTATACCGCTACAAAATACAAGTACTCTTGCCCTTTTTTTATAAATTAATGATGCCACACACACGTCTAGTTTGAGGATAACCGACATTTGCTAACTACTGCAACATATCTCGCTATAAAAAAATTTATTCGACATTTCAGATAAACTATGGAATAACTATTAAGTTTTCACATTTGTCAGACTTGATATAAATAACAACATAACTGTTCAGCTTTCCCTAAAGATACAACGCCCTTGTGCGTTACAACACGATAGCTTTTACTGCTTTCGTCAGTTGTACTGCTGATCTTGGGAGGGATCCCTCTTGGGCATAGTTCTAGGTAGGGCTAGAAAACGGTGTGGTTTGGTTAAGACTAGACCATTTATAAGGTCAATGGTCTAGACCGAGAGGCTGGAGTATAGACCAGAGATCAGATCACATATTATACGCTCCAGACCACGCATGTGTGGTCTGGTCCAGATAGACCACAATGAATGAAAAATGATCAATTTGTTTAGTCAACTACACAAAATTGAATCAATAACCGAGAATAAATTGTTTTTTCCCTTAAAACATAAACTCCAACATGCATATAGAATTTTAACACCCTAATCCCAGTAAACAACAAAATACAAAGTCAAAGCATCGCAACTTGCACCATAACGTCATAAACATTAATATAATGTCATGGAGACACGATCGTTTCTACTCTCTGGTGAAATATGGTTGTGAATGAAGAGCGGATGAGTTTCTCAAAGTTAGGGTTGAGACTTGGGTCTTGTTGGAGGAACTGAGAGAGTGGTCGAGTGGTTTGCTAACACATATTGGGAAGTCGACTGAGTCCACGGTTTGGTCCGATAAACCGCGGTTTAGACCAGACCAGAATAAGAGATCAAAAAATCATATGCTACAGACAATGGACCAGATGAAATTATTCTTAGCAGTCCACGATCTGGACCAAATTGTGCGATCCAATTTGGTTCATGGTTTTTCAAACGGTCTGATCTACTTTCACAACCTTATTTTTTGGAGACCATGTTAGCGGCGCTGACTTTGTCCGGTGTGACATATTACAGCCCCGGAGCAAGAAGATTGTTATTTGATACGACGAGGATTTGGATACGGTGGGCAAGAAGATGGCGAAGTACTGCAACAAGGCACCATTGTCATGTGCAAGGAAGTTCGGCCATGGAGGCATGTCGAGGAAACAGAGTACAGACAGGCTGGTGGTGATGAAAACTACTATACAGCAAACGGAGAAGGTTAACGTAGACTGAAGATCCATGGCGGTTTGGCATGTGCAGGATATGTGAAACAAAGTTCAATCGAGCATGAACACCATTCTCAAAATTGATGCGAGGGAAAGGAGTTATATTTGACAGTAGTTTACAAGTTGGTCCAAATCACTACTACAACTAACCAAATCCAAGATTGTCGTAGAAAGAAAAGGACACTGATTGATCAACCCTGTAGAATCAGGAAATAAAATCTATGAACCCCACAATCTCATTCCTACAAATTCCCATGAATTGATTGGGGCCATAGTCAATCTTCGAAATCTCCCGCGTGCTCCAGAAGGTAATTGGCCGCTAGTTCCTCGTTTCGATCACAGGCCAAAAATGCTTCAATCACAAGGGGCCTATCAAATCCCATCGCCTCCAACTGCCACACTCGAAATTCAGTCGTAATTAGCAAACAACGAACCAAACGAACACAAAAACGATACACAAAATAGATTAATCAATGTTAGGCAAATGAAGCAGACCCGTTCAATGGCAGCCTGCTCCGCGGGTGTAACGTTGATGGCATGGGGCATCTCTTGGTCAGGCTGGTCAAACATCTCCCTGTAACCATATGATACTTTTCTTAGCTCATTCATTAGGATGGCAGTCATGTCTTCAAGTGACTTAACTTTTTCATGACCTGTTAGCAGGCAACTATAGTACGTACTCTTCTGAACCATCCTGAGGTTCATTTATTAGTTGTAGAAATTCCGCATGGTGCTCTTGAATCATTCTTAAGAGATTCGGGTTCTGCTTCCCAAGCTCCTGAAGCATGGGCTGCAACAACAGAAGAGATGCAATGATGAACTTTTTGAGGCAAGTAATCCTATCATCATCATACAAGGTCATTGGTGAAGAAGACAGCACATACCTGTAAGATTTGAGGATTTGACTGAACCATCGAGCGCAATGCTTGGAACTAGTATAGAGTATTTAGGAAAACAAGAAAACAGAAAATTATCTATAATTGCCTTCTGAGGAATCCAGCACACAGATGTTTTAACGGACTAGTATAGAGTGGATAAAAAAAAAAGTAATCCACTCGGAGCATATCAAGTAAATGTTCAACAATTTCAAGAGAAGTTAAGAAAAGCTTGTTTCATCATCTCCCATCCTGGTGAACTACAATATATGAGTACCTTCAATAGCAATGTGGTGTTATTATTTATGGGTACTTCATTGCTTCCGTAAAAGGTATAAGTGCAATGTACCAGGTTACTCCCAATCTTTCCAAAAATCTCGATACATTTCTCACTAACTTCATGGCAAATAAGAAATTATCACATTATCCAACTGGAAAAAAAAAATTGTTGCATTAAAGCATACCTGTTGATTGTTT